GGCCTGGCAGCACCGGTACCCCTCGGTCCTAGACGGACCTTGTTTCTGAGGAGTGCCGACTTGCGTGGAATCCCTTGAAACCCTCACGCCAGGTGGGCAGGCGGGAGCATCCTGTTCTCTCCTGGGTGGGTTTTGAGTCTACCCGTTTCCTGGCCGTGTCTCTGCCGGTGGGAGACCCCTTGAAAGAGCATGTGAGGTGCCCTGTAGTAAACATAGAGGATGTGCTAAATTTTTTTCTCGTTACTTATGGGGAAACATTGCTCAGACCTTGGAGGCATAATATTTTATGTCTTCTGTTAGAATTAAGTACTGTAGTGCTGAATTACCTGTCAGTCTTTTCTTGATTCCTGTTATATACTTGGCCGTGAGTTTCCTATACTAGTAGCCAATAAAGGGTGTCATGCAGAAACAGGGATCTTTCAGATCTGACTGTTTGGTCCATTGTACAATGACGATTAACTGTGTATATACAATGGGAAGACAGACGTTCCTAATGTTTTCACTCTAGTGCGATTGCCATATTATGAACTTTAATAATCATCTCTTTATACAGTAAACCTGTTCTGTTTCTGGATACAATCTAAATAGTAGTTTTTTCTGTGCCCTGGGGCAGTCACTGTATGCATTTGAAAAGGTCATTTTAAAAAATGTCTATGATATCCTTTTTTGAAATGTGGTGACTGCCACTGAGTTTGGTAGCAGAGGCTACCACTGTGTTGGGTGTGATGACAGATCCTGTAATCTCCATTTTTACTCTCTGTATTGTAACATTTATTTTGGTTGGTTGTTTTTTGTTTTTTTAATATGGCTACATGCTGAGTTAAGATCTTTGGTTGTCACATGCAGTGACATGTAAAGCACCCTTCAGAGTTATTTGATTTGGTACCTTGATGTGCAATTTGTTTAAATTCTCCTGTGCAGTACAGATTTACCTTTATTTCTGACCCTGTTATTGAACTGAAGCGCCAGCTGTCAAAAAGGCTTCCAGGAAATTGGGGCAAAAGAAAAATATTATACAAAGTCACAATAAGCAAGAGCGAGTTGAGAAGAAAGACAATTTTAAGGAAAACTAGTTTTGCAATCTGAGCTACCTTGTCAAGAATTTCAGTTCTAACCCATTGAAGGCTGCAAACCAGAATAGAATTGTGTATTTGTTAAAAGAATGGTTATACTAGCCAGGAAAAGCATATTGGTGAAGCTTCCCAATTTATTTCTTGTTGTCTGATCAGGGTACCTTGTCAGGGGCATGTTCTTACCCAGTTCCAATGAAATGGTAAAAGAGATTGTCTTAAGACACAGCACTTGCGGTTCAACCTGAAAAAAATATTGTACTTATTTCATTCATGAGGCAGCCCAATAGCTGCTTTGGGCCTATTGCTGACTGGTCACAATAGCAGCATGATTGCCTGGTTAGTGTACCAGTACTTTTATAAAATTTATTAAAATAGCTTATTGATGAGACAGAAATCAAAGTCCAAGGAAACAATTGCCTGTTTCATCTAAGGTAGGTGTTTCCTGTGCTGTGGTCTTCTGCAATACCAGGATACAGTTGAACAGGATTCATCAATAGCCCAAGCAGGGGTTTTGGGAAAAGCTCTGTATGGTGCTAAGGCCCAGAAAATACAGCCCTAAGTTAATTTCTTCTCTCCTTGTGGAGTTCTCCTTAGGATTGAACTAAATCAAACTGTAACCTGGCAGTGCTCTGGCCCCCAGAGGGGATTTATAGACAGGCATTGCTGTCCAAGACTAGTTCTGGGGTACAGTGGGTTAGTGATTGACCACTAGTCTTCCCAAAGCAATATGTTAGGGTTTTTCCCCCCCGCCCCTTAACTTGTGCATTTAATACAATCTGACGTAAGCAGCAGGCACTTCTTCCTTGCTCCTCTTATCATGAGACGATAAAATATGCCAAAGATAGTGTCCAGGGAAGAAGTTGGGTCGTTGCAAATCTACTGAAGGCTGCTAGTTGTAGCAAGTACTTGGAGCATAAGTATTCTGACAGGAGTCAGAACTCTTTTTTTGTTTCCCAATCACTTTTCATGACTAGGCAATGGAAAGAGGTAATTCTCCATAAAAGGTAATTGGTCCTTGACAGCAGTAGCTGGTGTTACACTAAGAGATGTGAGCCAGTTTTAAACAATTAATAGAGTTGCAGAAACAGTGCCAGCTGCCTGCTCTTGGTAGGAATAAATTAGGTTTAACTTTATACTGCTCTGAATTTGTCATCAGCAAAAGACAGCAACGTTGGTCAAACTTTTAAAGTGATGTCTGTATGAGGAGGGACTGAGTAAGCTAGGACTTGTCATTCTGGGAAAGAAGTCATTCAGGCATATGTTCAGCAGAGAGTTAGGACACAAATTTACAAAATACTATAGAAAAGATTAAAAGACAAAAGTCTTTCTGAAGGTGGCTTTTCCTAATCTTGGTATCTCTGGGTTTGTACTGGAAGACACAAATAAAATGATGTAGTTCTTCATGCAAGAAGCAGACCCCTTCAATTCTTTGCTAGGATCCTGCCAGGGTCTGCAGATATGACATTTACAGGGGTTAGAAGGGAAATGGGACAAGTACTAGGATTAGAGATCCATGAGGATTAAATAAAGCATATAGGGCTCAGGAAATCTGAAAATTCAGACAGTATTTCAGTAAATCAGCATCTATGCTCATCTTGTTGATACCCTTTCCTGGGCATCTCCTTATGGCCATGGTTGGAGAGAGTTTACAATATAGCCTGACCCCTGTTCTGATCAGTATGATGTTCTTTTACGGTCATAACCCTTAAAGTTTTGGCGTTTTTTAAAAAAAAATTATTAACACATGTGCTTAATATTCACATATCCTTTATGCCAGGCAGATATGCACCTACTGGTTAAATTAGTCTGTGTACTCAATAATTATTCCTCAGTGGGAAAGTGACCCAAAAATTTTTTTGCGTCTAACAATTTTCTTGCTTCAGCAAGAATTAGCAGCTTCTCTCCTTCCTGCTGTTTGTTTTGTCTTCATTAGGCTGATAGGTGCTTACACACCTTTTCTTCACCTCACAAGAAAGAGTTGGTAGACATCAGATCTTTTGCTTTCCATCCACCAACCTACGTACCTCATCATCCTTTACTCTTCTGACTTTCGGGAGTGGAAAGGATAAAAGCAGTTGACTATGTTTACTATAGTTGTATATCTCAAATTCATCTACTAGTTACATATTAAATTCATTAATTGCTATTCCATGATTTTTTTTTCTTCTTGTTGGGGAATGAAATAAAACTGCAAATTTATTTTCTCAGCTAGGTCTCTGGACAAAATGGGGAATGGATCACTGAAACCCAAGCATCTGAGGAGGCCGAATAGACATGTAGCAAATCTCTCTATTGGCTGTGGTGGCAACCATAAGTTTTTGAAGGACCAAGGTCTAGGTGTCAGTGTGATCAATGGGCAAGCTGATGTTCTTTGCAGCAGGGTGCTTGAACTGGAAAAGGAGTTGAAGAGAAAAGATCAAGAGCTGCAAGAGGGTCAAAGTCATGTTGCTGAGCTTCAGGAACAGTTGGCTGTGCAGACTAAGGTCATAGCAGAACTCACCAAGGAACTTCAGAGCAAGTGTATACAGTTGAACAAGCTGCAGGATGTTGTTAGCACTCAAGGAGAGCACTCTCTTCAGCTTTCTCCATTTAAAGCAGCTTCAAGGATTCAAGTCTCTGGCAATAGGAGGAGAGGAGCCAAGGAAGGTGTATCTGCAGAGCCGACAACACAGCTGTATGATTTGACCAGGCAATCTATGTTTTCCTTTGAAAAAGCAAGAGTCCGAAAAGATTCCAGGTAAGCTCATTCAAGGGGGATTATATGCTTGTGTTACAAGGATATTACTTTTATCACAATGATATCTTCTCCTCATGATAAATCAGGATTAAAAGTATCTCTCTTTTTTATATAGACTTTGTTACTGTCATAGTTAGAAGCTGGTTGAGTTTGTATGTACCTTTAACCAAGAACCTGTATCCCTCAGACTTCAGATGAAGAGTGGTGGGTAGCCTCTGTATTTTAGTTGAGGAGACTCTTATAGTATCTTTGGGATTTATCTTTCCTGCCAGCTAAGGAGAACCTAAGCCTCTTCTCATGTCCAGCTTTGCCTAGTGCTTGCAGCTTAATCTGTACTCTGGAGCACTAATGAGCAGAAGATTCAAGACTTCAGGATTCTTATTCCTATAGCATGGATGGCTTGGGAAGGAGCAGGTGGCTGCAGCTCGACTCTTCCAAATGCAATACGGACACTGATTCTGAGCTGTGTATGAAGTTTGTAAGCCCAGTTTCAAGTCAGTCTGGTGTGAAATAGGAATTTTTTTGTATGACGTGATTATCCTCTTAGCAGCTTCCTCCTACCCTCCAGCTTCTGACAGTCATGGTGTAGGAACCTAATTTTGCTTGTTTCTCTTTGAATCCAATTATATTTCTAGCCTCTGCAAGAGCCAGAAATATCTGTGGTCGCAGCTGACATTGTGAACAGAGGTATCAGACTGGTATCCTTAAACATACCTTAGACTCTTTTTTACCTTGCAGTGAAGACATAACCTCCGTATCTGTTTTAACATGGTGGTAGCCAGAATCTATCTAAGGGCTTCAGCCAGCACCTTAACTGCCTCATGTCTGTGGGGAGCTTTATTATTGTCTTAAGAAATCATGGCACATTTGAGTATGTATTGTAGTAGACCTGAGAATTATCAGACTTGATTTCTTATCCATCATATCCAGCATTGCACATTAGAGGCTGTGTTGTGAACGAGAAAGGCTGCCCGAGTCACCATAAGGAGCTGAAATATTTGGCTAGCAGTGTTTTTCCAGAGAAGTATACTAACATTTTATTACAAGTATATGGACAGTTTAGATAATTGCATGTTTTAGGAGCGTTTGTAATTATATGCCTTCTCTTTGGCATGATCCTTGTACTCAGTCCACCAGATGATGATTTTCTAGGGTGCTTTCAGATACAGCATTGTAACAGCACCGAGACTGAAGCAAACAGAAGAGCCAGTTGCTTAGATAACAGCAGCACAGACTTTGCTGTTCAAAACAAAAACAAATATTCCAGCTTAAGTAACGTAAATGTAATGCTGATCATGCAATAAAAACCGACTGGACGCTCAACCCATCCCAGAGCCACGCCGAACCCGCCCCTGCCCGACTAGCCCCCTTTTATGGTGAGCATGATGTCACATGGTATGGAATAGCCCCTGGCCAGCTTGGGTCACCTGTCCTGACTCCTTGTGAAATTTATCCTTGCCAGAAGCAGGCCACCCATCTTTTCCTCTGTGATCTTACAGTTGATCTCTTGATTAGTAAATCATCAGAGGGGCTAGAATTAAGAAAAAGTGATTTCTAGAGTATCCTAAGCATTCAATAGATCAGTCCAGACATTAAAAAATTATTTTCTTAGAATATAAAAATTATGGTCAACTTGCTATTTTACCCAGTGTTTTTAAACTCAATTTTATGCAATTGAAAAATTTTCAGCTTTAGCTTTTGGTAGGAAATAAAGTGGCAATCTTCCTGTGTTTTACACTGTCCTGGTTTTCGGCTAAGATAGAGTTAATTTTCATAAGAAGCTGAGACAGGACACAGCCAGTATAGCTTAGCCAAACGAGCCAAAAGGATATTCAATACCATATGATGTCATGCTCAAAAAAGGGAATGGGGCTAACCAGGATGAGGGGCGGCACAGAGAGGGCCAGTATGGCTGCCGGATGCTCTGAGTATGCAGTCTGAGTGTACAGTTGTCAGGTGAGAAATTGCATTGTCTCTCACCCATTTTGTGTTTTCTAAATGTAGTTGTTGTTATTTTTCTCTTCCTTTGCTGTGCTATTAAACTGTCCTTATCCCAAACCACAAGTTTTACCTTTTTGTTTCAATTCTCCTCCCCATCCCACCAATGGGAGGAGGGGTGAGTGAGCAGCTGCATAGTATTTAGTTGCCAGCTGGGGCCAAACCCTGACAGTCCTTTCTGGCACCCAATGTGGGGCTTGATGGGTTGAGATAACAGCAGATCTGACCAGAGTGAGTTAAAACAAAGTTGTTATATACATTTATTATATTAGGTAAATAGTTGCTGGTCACAAATTCTACTTGCTGTATATATTCCCTGCGATGCTCTTTATCACCTCTGGGAGAGGGGTCAAGATCCTCAGTTTTGTGTAATATCGACTTATGACATGATAACGTCACTGGTCATGAGCTTAAGCTGGTATTTGTACATAGCATAGCTGTCATCTCCATACCTCGGATGACATCCTTCACAATTGATTAATAATCGCACTCAATCTGTGGGGAAGACGGGGGGGATACCTTCTCCCACTCTTTCATCTCCCCTTTTCCCTTCAGGCTGGTTATAGCAGCTTTTGAGAATTTTGAATACCCTTGGGATGTTCAAGCCAGCATGCTTTTATTTCTAGGTCTCTTGAACATGTTCCAGGTCTCGTTTAGGTTTACAAAAAAATTGTTCGAAGAATAACACCCAGAGTTCTGCCCCAAGGCTGAATAGTCATGGGTGGCATAGCATATGGGAGAGCATGGGCAGGTATCTAGAGAACTTCTCACCTCCAACGGTTTGGAACTTGACTCCTGATCAACTACAGGATCCTGATGAAGTGATAGAATATTTGAAAGAAAAATGCTGTGGCTATTGCAAAGAGGCACAACTTACCACCCTGTGCAGGACCCTGGCCACTATCAACCAAACACTGCTCGATATTAGGCACCACCCTCAGGGGAAGAGAGGGAAAACAGAGTGACAGGCACTGTGGCTACTTAAACCGCCGTGACAGGGACTGCAGGTTAACAAAAAAAAAAAAACAACCCATGCTGGTATCAGTCACCCACATACAGAAGAAATACACACACACAAAAAAAAAAAATCAATTTGCTTAGTAAGTGATGTTGATGAACCATGACCATCATGAGACTAGGAGGAAGAGGCAAAATTAAACACTTGATCCCTGTCCCTGAGTGAGCTGCAAGACTGGCAAAAAGATTTCAACACCTATCCAGGCAAGCAGACCACCATGGAGAGAGGTATCCAGTACCTGAGGGAATTAGCTGTACAGGAGATGCTTTATTATGACTAGAACAAGACACACTTACCCACAGATCTTGATGAAGTCCAGTGTACCTGACCCAAAAATGCAGAACTCTGTACAGAGCACATCAGTGTCGTATGCCAGCTCATTGGCAGTAATGGACTGGAAAGGCGAAAAATGTACCAATGGTGGATGAAGTGGCTGGCCAAGTCCAGCAATATGAAGAAAGTCTCTATTCCTCCCTCATCTCGGCTGTGGAAAAACTGAACCAGAAGTTCCAGCAGCTCTAAAAGAATATGTCCTGCGCCCCACCTGTACAGACCAGTATTTCAGCTATTAGGAGTACACCTTCTTCTGCTCAAGAGAAAAGATATAGAGGGTATGCACCACGAGGCACCCTGTGGTTTTACCTGAATGACCACAGAGAGGACATGAGGAAGTGGGAAGGAAAACCTTGAAAAATCTTGACCCTAGAGGCATGACTACATGAGTTGCAAGGTAAAACAAGCACAAATAGGGATTCTTCCAGGAAAATTGCCACTCTGCTTTCCAGTGTGCAGTTCCCCAGACTGAGTGGAAGGCCTATTCGTACTTACGGCCCTCCTGAAGGGACTTCTAAGTCGTTTTTACAAGAAACGAATAACAAATACCACGAAAGTGGGGCGTCATGATCCTTCTTGCTTTTAAGCAGGTGGATCAGGCTTCTAAGATTGAAGTGGGTCAGGTGGATTTGAACTGGCAACATAAGGGTGAATTATTGACAGCTTGGTGGGTGTATGATACCTCCGGCCATCAAGGAAGAGATCACAGAATAGTAGAGGTTGGAAGGAATCTCTGGAGAGCATCTAGTCCAACCCCCTGCTAAAGCAGGATCACCTAGAGCAGGTTGCACAGGATTGCATCCAGGTGGGTTTTGAATATCTCCAGAGAAGGAGACTCCACAACGTCTCTGGGCAGCCTGTTCCAGTGCTCTGTCATCCTCAAAGTGAAGAAGGTTTTTCTCATATTCGGGTGGAACTTCCAGTTCCAGTTTGTGCCCATTGCCCCTTGTCCTGACCCTGGGCACCACTGAAAAGAGTCTGGCCCATCCACCCTTCAGATATTTGTAAGTATTGATAAGATCCCCTCTCAGTCTTCTCTCCTCCAGGCTAAACAGACCCAGCTCTCTCAGCCTTTCCTCATAGGAGAGATGCTCCAGTCCCCTAATCATCCTCATAGCCCTCTGCTGGACTATCTCCACTAGTTCCCTGTCTTTCTTGAACTGAGGCCCCCAGAACTGGACACAGTACTCCACACGTGGCCTCACCAGGGCAGAGTAGAGGGGGAGGAGGACAACCATCGCCCTGCTGGCCACACTCCTCTTAATGCGTCCTCAAGATACCATTGGCCTTCTTGGCCACAAGGGTTCTTGGCCACAATGGCACTTTGCTGGCTCATGGATAATTTCTTGTCCACCAGGACTCCCAGGTTCTTCTCCGCAGAACTGCTTCCCAACGGGTCACACAGATGCAAGATATAGATAAACTTGTGATCAAGGGGTTGACTTGACCATGGACACAACTTCACAGGTCATCCATGAATGTGAAACATGTGCTGCAATCAAGCAAGCCAAGCAGGTAAAGCCTCTCTGGTATAGAGGATGATGGCTGAAATGCAAATATGGAGGATCCTGGCAGATATTGATTATATCACACTCCCACAAACCTGCCAAGGAAAGTGCCATGTACCTACAATGGTGGAAGCAACCACTGG